CCGATTTTTATTCCTTAAAGTACCATTTTTATTCCTTTAAGTGGTACCTTCCTGGGGTCATATACTACCCAAATACCAATTTTCATTGACATAAACAAAGAAGTTTCACACAAACTTTTTCACCCTTTTTGACCCCCTTCGGGATAGAATTTCCAAAAATCCGTTCTTAGTACACCTCTGCGTATTAAGGAGAATGTTCCCACCAAATCTCAAGTTTCTACGACCAGCGGTTTAGTGCTCGGATGTTACAGTACCTTACAAAGTATTTGGTCACTTTCCTCTACCTTCAGTCATAGCTGCCACATGACCGCGTTAAGGTAAGAGCTTTATATATTCCCAACATCTCGTAACTATACCGTTTGTAACGTTTCTTATTCTTTACGACTGACACGACGAACTGCTAAAATTCTAAACGATGATGTGGAGCCAGTAATAAATCAGTCAATGTCAGCTTGTCAGCTGTACGCTGTCGGCATTCACGGGCATCGGGTGAAGCTGACCGGCATGGCTAAGCGTAACGTGCAACACATCGGTGTTCGGTAATTAGAAGTTATGCATTAGACCTCCAAACGTATTACTTACACTCACTACTTTGTAAGCATTAATAACATTTCAAGTATTATTTAAAAATCTACATAATTCCGATCTTATATATTTACGAATTAAATAGGGATTGGAATTTTTGGGAAAAATGTATTTTTATTATTTGTTAACGAAGTTTTCAATAATAAATACTACTACTAGTGTTTTGATCGTGAAGACGATCGCTTAGAAATTCTGGATAATCACTTTACTACGTGACATAAGTCAAAAACTGCATTATAAAATATTTTTAAGTTCCATTTCTTCAGCTTTAGAATAGTAAATGATTAATCAACCTAACATTTATTTAATTTCTTTTGTCCTTTTCAATTTTCCAGAAATTTAAAAGGGGGTTGTATATTTCTATCAAGCAAAGTGTTTAAAGAGAAAGCAGTTAAATACACATTATTTACTTCTCAGTGAAAGATTAAAATTGAAATATTTAATCATATTAGGCAAAGTTTACTACTCCATTTTTGTATATTTTTTTCTTGAAAATCTTATTTTTTATATAGGTACTACTTGTATTTACGAGCGTGTGTAAAAATTTGGGTTTTCAAATGTATATACTGATCATGAGATTTCAATTGACAAAACCGAAAAATACAGAAATTTTATATTTTGAACCATTGTACGAAAGATATGTTCTAAATTTTTAGTAAGCTATCTTTTAATAGCTATCTTGGATCGAGGGAAAAGTTATTATAAAAAGTTATAAGTTGATCATGATATTGTAATTTTAATATATGGCACTGAATAAAAAGCATGGAAACCTTCTGATAAAAAGTGATATACGGAAAAAAAAAACAGAATTTTTATTCCCTTTTACCTATATGCCAGGTTACGTTCATCTGTAATAATACTATGAAAGATTGGATTGTTTATGTATTTGCAATGAATAGGCTCAGAAACTATCTATAAGTGTAGTAGTCATGCACGGGTATCGAAGACTGTAACTTACGCGGGCGAAATCGCGGGTAGAGTTAGTTAAATATATGTATTTCTTATCTATGTATAAATATATGTATAATGATATCTTTAAAAAAAATAATACAACTTTGCAATAGAACCTTGTGGTATTTGAATTGAAATTCATATGTATACAGATAACTTGTAATTAGCACAACAGTTTAGCAAACCCACGTAAGATTTGGCGTGTTCAATGCACTATGCATTATTAATGGCATCGTATTACTTTCAAAAGTCTATTAAGGATTCACATGAACCGGTGTGCTGATTGCGACGAGCATCATGCCTCGAATACACTCACTCATGAAATAACAAAATCAAATGAAAACTTTCATCGCAGAAAATTATTTTATAAAAAAAGTAAATATCCTCCGTATAAGAACTACTCTTATGCTGGATCCAATCCATCTCTGAGGTCCCGGGTTTGATTTCCAGTCGGATCAATATAGAAAATGGACTTTTCTATTTTGACTCGGGTGTAGTTGTTGGGTACCTTCGTTGCATGGATGCAAATTGCATGGAGGAGGAGAGTGACATTTAGTACAGTTAGAATGGTTTTAGTATTTGATGGCAAAAGAATAATTATGTTAAAAAACCATATTCAACCATGAAGGTGGAATTTCAACAATTACAATCTTTATTTAAATTTATAAGTATATTGTTTTTTCTTGAGATATTCCCCAAATTTTCTTTAAGAATTGAAAATTTATTTGATAGGTACGTAACATAACTTAGAGTATTTACGGATCTGTTCCTTTTTATCCAGTTTCTTAGTAATATTATTCGTCTTACAATAATCTGTGAAATGTATTTTACAATAAAGGTAGAGTTATAATTTCATTGTAATTGAAACGTGCTTCGATGTGGTCTCAATTCCATACCTCACGCGAGGTTCTAGGAAGATTTACAAAGTGGCGTCCCGCTGCGTTTTCGCCCGAAGTGTCAAAATGTCCAGTCTAAACTACCCCAACGGTGGCAGCCCCACAGTCCCTTAAATTTTGGTTACGACAACCTGATCTTTGTTGCATATGTAATAAGATTCTCGAGTTTTTTCGCTGAACGCAAGACATCAACAGCAACTATTTGCGGTCCCATAATATCGTGTGATCAATCTACTGGTCGATTTTGAGCTGTATCCAGCGAAAAGGAACGTTTACACCTATTTCAGTTCCAGGAAGGTTACGCTAGAAGATTTGAGTTGTCGTCAGGTGTTCCTTGACATATTAATCTTATTGTTGATTTGATGATATTGTGAGGAAAGATTTGACTTGGTTTTGTTGGTTGAAGACTCTATCGATAAGATTGGACAGAAGTTAGCTATTCTATTGTGAAAACAAAATTAAATTTTAAATTCTTTCAAACTGCTTTTATGATATTGTAAAAAAAAACTATGATAACAAACCTTAACTTGTTGACAACAAATTAATATTAAAACACACCCAAATTAAAATTAGTTTTTTTTTAGTTCAGTTAAAATAATAACACAAAATAATTGCCACCATATTCTTATATTATTCGTCATGATTTGGAAGTAAGGGGATGATTTCCAAAACATATTTTCGTTAACAAAATTAAGTAATTAAACTACATGTTGTATAGTCCTGTTACAAAGTCGTAATTAATATATTTGATATTGTAGTTCTTGTTAGTTTTCTTTTCAAATAAAAGCACAGATAAGCTACTACAAAATTTTTTTTGAAGGTCAATTTTATTACTAATGGCTTCATCAGAATGCCAGTGAATGCCAGCTATTGCTTATATTAAGTTGAGTTTAATTTGATAATACAAAATATTGGAAAAAGCAGTTTTAGGATATTTTTTACCTTGTATGATGTTGTTGTCCAATGAATGTCTACTTTATTCTATTTAATTTATTATTCTATCTATGCATACTTACCGTCATGTCGTGGTGTCTACAATGCACCTTTGTATGTAAGTGTACCGCCAAAATTTTTGGTTATTGATTCAGCTTGCGTGTACGCGGTAACTTTGCCAACCACTATTAATATTTAACGCTTGGATAGTTGTTATAATACAGTACTCATTGTTTTAATTGATAAAATCTAATAACGTTTTTCGTTGGATAACTACTAACTTTTATAGTACACGTGAACAGCATACCAATAAGACTATCTTTATCAATTATCTTGCCTTACTACTTTTTAATGCAGTAGCTAGATCCTGATATAAATTGAATAGTGCACATTTTAAAAAAATCACATATACAATACAATACAAATATTCTTTATTGTACACACCGTTGTTGACAAAATTAAGTCGAATTAACAGTTTATAAGGTTATGTTCTTTAAACATGTTTAAAATTATTATAATAACATTCGAAGGATCAAATTTTCTTTCGATCTGGATAAAATGAAACACAAAAGACCAAATTGTCCTTCGAGCGTGATCAAAAGTTTAAAAATGTAGGGTATTAATGTAGAAGGATGATTGGTTCAGTAATTTTTCTAGCTTCCCCTTGACGAAGCGCGGTCGGAGGACTCGGCGGCATTCACTCCGCACGCCCGCTAAATAAATTCATTAGTTAAATCACCGCCGGCGGCGTTTTATGTCGGTAACATCAAAGGGCTAGCCAACGCCCGCCGCCCTGCCGGGGGCGCACTCGACCGACTTTTTACTCAGAAAACTCTGTAAACAAAATGATATGGTGCGTCCGAAACTCCAAATGCTTGATCCGCCTTTATTATCTGTGTACAGAGTGAATGTTTAGCTAGCAAACTAGCACTCTATACCCTCTCTTTGTAGTGATCGGTAATAGAAAAACAAGATAATGCAACAATCGGGTGCTCCTTGTATAATTTTTATTTGAAGTGTATTGGTTAAATATGTATGGCAATTCTTTATAATTCAATATCTAATGTATTTTTCTTTACATGTGATTATTCCAATTAAGCCCTTTACTGATATTCAATTATCAATATCGAATATGTTATTGACAAAATACAGTAAGTATGTAATATTATAATAGTTCATGTGTAGCAAGTAGCATCGATGCTTCATTCAATACTTTTATTTTCCCGGGCTTCGCCCTTCTCAAATCGTAAGAAGGAGACAGGCTCATCATGTGTGTGGTCCCACGGCAAATCGAGTCGGGCTCCGTCGCCGTCTCTCGGCCTCGTTCGTGTCCCAGAACGGCAACATAGCCGTTGAAATCATGATGGCGGCTCCACAAACATCCAGTGTACGCATTCATTGCTCGAACCAGTGTCGCTCGAGTCGCGCTTGTGGTGAGACGCGAACACGGTGTATTGTTATTTAGTAATATTGACATCGTCCCATGTTTCGAACGGTTTAGTGTTAGAAAGAAGTGAAAGATTCGAGTGTGCAAGTGTGTGGTTATGTTGCGGCGAGTGATATGACAGCGTGCGCCGCCAGACGGACCCCGGCCGTCTTCATGAGGATACTGGTGACAAGCCTGGCCCCGAGATCATGGTGGCTCCCGATTCCGAGGCTCCTTCGACTCCTCGGATAGCGGGTGCCGCGCGCGAAAGCCCCTCTGCTGCCGAAGTGCGCCACACCACTGACCTATACATCCGCACTAGTTGGGTGGATGCCGCTCTAGCACTCTCAGAACTCGAAAAGGTGCAGTGTCTCACTATACTCATGAGATTTCAGTGTCTCAAGTTTTTATTGTCATATTGCACGTGTGATTGTTTTTCTGCGAATGTCAGTCGCATCCACTCGATTTCCGCGGCACCACGGAACAGTGGCGCAAGCTAGCGGTAATTGTGCGTACTATCAAGGCCGCGCATATTTATACATAATTAAAGGTCGCAGATATACCATAACAATACTATAACATGATAAAATTATTTATTTTATTACCAAGCGTGAAATTTACTTAATTTTTTGTTCATTTATATAACATTTAAAATAATGAAGACCACCGACGGTGTCGATATCTTTTTCAAAAGAAAATATTGACAAATAAGACAAAAAGTTTCCTGTATCAATTAATTATATACTTTTAAAATTACTTGCCGAATAGAAACGTGGTTCCTTATGATATTGTTAGTATACATATTACTGATCTACTACTATGGATAGCTTTGAAATTGTCCAAGTGTTATACTATAACTACCTACCTGCCTAAGGACGGGTTCAAAACAGGCAACGTTTTCTTAGAAGCCCGCACGCACGCCCTGCTGAGGCAGCTAACCCCCCAGGGACATTTTGCAAAAACATGTAAATTCTCTTGACATTACAAACAATGTTTTAATGATACACAAATTACAACAACTTTATTTTTTTCTAATAAACCAAAGAAAAGATATAATAACTTACGCGTCTTACTTAAAATGAATACACAAAAATGCAGCGTACAAAACATGTAGAAAAAACATTAAAACAGCTGTAGGCCGAGGTGAATGTATAGGTGTACTCACATATAATACAGGAACTTATGTCGGTTGTACGAGATGAAGCAATTAAGGCGCAGCGGGCCGCACGCGCAGGCGCCGATAGAGACATCAACGCCGACCGCCTATTAGAGCAAGCCCAAGATCTCGCTAATGTATATGCAGTTAAGATTAAAAGGCTTATGACAAGTTTATTGAGTACGGTAAAGCTGAGATAGTAGATCCTCATAAAACCATTAATAAATGGAACCGTGATTATTGGTCTTGCAATAATGATAAGTTTAAAACTGTATTAGAAAATTTCAAAAATCACTTTCTATCCATCCAAAAAACTTTATAATAGAAACATAACAGTGTTATTATTGCTCATCAGTTTCCGTTTATATCTCAAGAGATAAACATCGATTATAGCCATACACACATTCAGATTACATAATGTATCCAAACTGAAATAAAAGACTCTTATTCTACAAATTTTTATGTCTGCCAGGCAGGACCGCACAGGGCTCGACTCATGGAATTGAGACATCTTGTGGTTTCCGATCGTGCATCCTATTCTATCTCAGAGAAGGGCAGACCCTTTTCTTTTCTCCCAGTTTTATAGTTTATCCCTTTCGCACCCGTTTTTCCCACATATAGCCTGTCTTCGTCCAAATATTGAGCTCGCCGGCGGTCGGCAGCTGCGATGGAAACCTATAAATGATTGTATAACACCCACGATTTTCAAAGGTGCAGCTTTTATATGGAACTCGGTTATTTTGAGATAACAGTTAAAATAGTCATATGGAAGAATGTAACAGCATTCATTAGAGCTGGAGCGATAGATAAAGTTGTCGTCAAAGATTTTATATGGAGTCAAGGAGATCGAGTGTATTATATCAGTGCCTGATTGAGTGTGCTATTGGTTAACCGCAGGGTTGGCGGTAACACTTGGTGTCGGATTACGAGAACCGTTTAGCCGGTCACCAAGCAACTGGTCAGAACTCGTGGCGCATATACGCATCATTGCATATTCAATTTTTCCTCATGGTTACCCTTTGCTTCCGTTTCAGTAGTTTGATAACATATGGCTAAGGTAAATTTGGTTAGCAACCTAAAAAGTGGCTATTCTTGAACCATCATTACCTAAAAGCAATATTTTTTATTGCAGCAATAAAGCTTGAAAATAAGTTTGTCAAATCAGTTTCGCTAACCTTTCGCGTAAGATTTATCGCCATCGTTGCATAGTCGAAGGATTCTACTAACCTAGTGCGTCAACAGTAGTTTCGTTCGATCATATGGCCGTCGCAACCGGTTTTGTTGTCTACTATCTAAGTAACTTTCTCGAAATGTCATTTTGCCTCTTTTCCTTCTATTGATAAATGGATATTAAATCGAAACAAAAATCATCATTTGGTTTACTTTAGCCATTTATGTAATCATTTTATCTGCTCATTATTCAAAATTCTTAAATATCAAAAAGGTAAACTATTGATATGGTCTAACTCCAAATTCATTCGAGTTTGTTAGAACAAAAGTTAATAAATAAAACTTGAGTAGACGGTCAAACTATTCAGATTAGATATTGCGTAATCCCTTGCTGTGCCGGTTAATGTAAAATTGTTTAATTGGACAGTTGTTAGCTAGCATATGGTTGAACTCGTAAAGTTACATAAAGAACAATGTCACTGACATTCAACGGCATTGCCAGCTCGGTGGCAAATGGGCAGAACGTGATGCTCTTAAGAATGGCCGGTCGCATTTGCATACAGTTTATGATATCGATGAAGTGTATGCTAAATGTAATTCACCTGTTACGAGTCGTCGGGAAATAAGCCTGCTTTATTGACATTACGCATTCAGATTTTATATCGTTGAAATTAGCCTTGTAAACAATAAAACATTTTTCTTTCCTTTATTTTTTCTAAATTGTTTCCAAATCATATTTTTGAAGTGAAAATAACTGTTATTTAGAAGGAATAAAAGCGATATTCAACCAGAACTCATTAATAGAGTAGGCGAACGTAATCTTTGTATCATTTAATTCCGTATGTTTCTGTCTGTGTAAATTCGAAAATAGTCGTTAAATTGATTTGTTTTTTTTTTCTACACAATTGAATGATTTTAATGAAAATATATTATGCTACAAGAAAGGCAAATAAATTACATGTGGAAGGTCAAAACACCGATATTGAACAGACTATTCTAAACGTTTGAGGTATCTAACATGGCAATATTGCACCTACATTTGTTAAGTAACAATTTTCTAACGAATCATTGTTACGAAGGCTTATTTCTGCCGAAGGAGAATCTTACAGAATGCCTCATGAATTCTGATGAGATAATAGAGGTGCCAACACCCACGGTCATTATATGCAGATATTGGTAGACCTGCTTCGGGTCGATGCGGATGTCAGATTGTTGAATGTCAGAGAACATACATGTGCAAGAACATAACAGGAATTATTGATGAATGAGCCCTAGAGATCAGTTTAAAATAAATACGGCTGTATTGTGTACCTAAGGATTATATAATTTTGGTTTGGTTATGTATGACCTGACGACGATTCTTATATTTTTTATTAATATGACTTTTATCTAAAGAAATTTACGCATCTCGTGGTACGGAAAGTACCGTATTAGAAGACAAAACAAATCCATATCATTATTTTGTTTACATAACAGCATAATTAAACTGAGAAGACTTTTAAATGAATAATTACGATATCTGCACGTGTGTTTTACACTCTACTATTAATGAATAAGTTGTTAATTTACTAAAATACACCAAAATAAGAATGAACCCGAGGTCTGTACGTCTGATAAGAAACAAAATTGGCCTTCGGAAACATTGAATAATGTAGGTATCAGGCGTTTTCAATGTGCGATTTTTCTTTAATTGGAATATTTTTCGGAATTAGATTTTATTCTATTGTTAACTCCGAATTTTTTTAACGAGGATTATCGTTTAAGGATACGAGGCATCTTAAACTTTGTTAAGATTCAATTAAACTTATGAAGTAGATCTCTTATCTACAGGAAGTGCAGTCGCCGGCGGCGCTATACTACAAAATATACACTACAGCTAATCCATTACTTACGTCAACTGTTTACTCATGAGACTGCGAGCTTTCCGCGTTCTGCTGAGTCGAATGACAGTTGCGTTGCGATATACTTACGGTTGCATAAGGAGTGTTATTGTGTATCGTATTTGGTATCTGAATGAAGAGATCGAGATGGTCGTGGTGCAGCGTGGTGGCGTGTCGCGTACGGTACACGTGGGACGCGCGCGGTGCGGGGCGGGCGAGGGGCGCGGGCGGTACAGGCGCATTCCGGCCGTGACGTCACGCCCACCCAGAGCGCCCGACATTCACCTCGTCCGTTCGCCCGAACCGTTCCACGACTCTCGCCGTATCTGCCATTATTGCTGGTACGACTATTTATTTATGCTCAGCAGAAGCCAAACATCGCTGTTTCGGCGGGAAACCGACAGAGATGGTTCAGCGAACTTACACATCGCACAACGGCGTTTCAGTACACCGCCGGTTGGATAAATAACCTTTGGAATTCGCTCAGTTCACTAACGATATTTTAATTACAGCCGTAAGGTTCTCATTTCATTCTTGCGTTAATCGGCAGTGCGGTAGTCGCTTGTTTTCATAACATGTAATTAAACGCGTGGATTAGGAATATGTTTATACTTTTATTAGTTCATATCAATGCTATGTCATAAAAATGTATTAATTATTATATATCCAAAAACAAATTGTGCACATTGAAAAAACATCGTTTTTGTGTTGTTGTGCATTATGGGTATAATAAAACAAAAATAAACGCTACGAATATTTAAGGCGGAATATAGACTTTGATCGCTTAATCGTTGCATTCAACGGAATGCCGATTGAGTTATTATTATGCAATTAGTGATCAGTTGGCGAGATTCGAACAGTGGATCGAGCCGGCTCATCTCGTGCCCGAGCACTGTGGCGCCACGGGTGCGCCGGACTCGCGCCATCATTAATCACAATCAGCGGAGAAATTATTTCGATGTTTCGAAAACTTCAATTACTATGATCCCTGGTGAAGATCACAGGAATAATAAGAACGAAGAGTGACGTAGCACGTTGGAGAGCGCTACTGGACGTGAAATAAAATGAAATCGCAGTTCATGCGAGTCAGTCGAGATGACAAGTCTCTTTTCGAACAGTAGCACAGGAATGCCATCGAAAGTGAACAAATACTGTTTACGTTCTGAAGAAGTTATTAATGGACATTACGAATGTCTTATTAATCACACTTTCAAATATAAAAAGAAATGCAATATTTTAGCCTTCATGAATGTTATTTTTAAGCACGAATAATGTTTCAATCTTATAAATACCTTCATGTTGATACGACCAGAATCCGGAACGGACGCTTTCGCAATTCCAAACGCCATGTAATGCGTTTTCCTATAGAATTTAGTTAGCCCGCATTACGGAAGTAGGTTCAGCCTTCCGATTCTGTAAAAATTCGAAAATGAATTTGAAATCACTCAGGTGTCCAAATTCACTTCAAAAGCTGCGTCCGCTCAACTGGAACTGGTAATAACGTTTCGTAGCATAAGTGAAGTGAGTTCTGAAATGACATAGGTATTTAAGATTAGATATGTGTGAATCAATCAAAGAAATTTGTATTTTTATACAAGAATGGAATCAATAAAATTTCTACACTAAATTTCTAACAGAATCGCTCTGCACATCGTGCTGTAAGTCAGCATTTTAAAACAAAACCTAATAATAATACTTGCAGTTACAATATGTATATTTTTATAAATAGGTTTGTGTAGTAAGAAAATAAATCTAGCAGCTACATTTGGAATAATACCACAAAGAAATCACTATGTTATTGTTCCGAATACGGTTTCTATCATCTAAAATCTCGTTATTTCTCTACCCAAACAGAGTTTGGTCGGGGCAATTTACGGCTTCCATGAGTATTGGAGTCAACGAATTACCAATTCAGCCAAGTAGTTTTCAAGTGCCATGCTTACCAATGAATTTAAGAATATAACAGATTAAAGGTTAACATAGTCATGCTCTGTTGGTTCGGATATGTATGCTGTACGAATGGATAAGAAAATAATGATTGCGTGGCAAGTGTTATAAAAAGTAAGAATGTCATCAAATTACGTATTTAGACGTTGTTGCTTAGGGCATTTTCTCTGGCTTGTGTCAAGATATAGATAAAACCAGTCGAACAATGTAACTGATGTTAAATGAAATTCCTCAGGGCAACATCGAAGGAGGTCGGACGTCACTGTGGATTAGAGCGTGGCTGCAAGAGCAGCTGTTCGTGTTGGGCTGCTTCCTGCAAGGTGACGCCGGCAAAGTACTGTTTGTGGCAGTACTGGTGCTGTCCACCTTTTGTGTTGGCCTCAAGTCTGCGCAAATACATTCACGCGTTGACCAACTCTGGGTTCAGGGTGAGTACTGATACTTTTTTCTTTCAAATGATGTTTTATTTTATAAGTATTGTGCAGCTCCCCATAGTGCCATCACAATCGGCGGCATATTGGCACAAATCTTATCATACGTCAATGTCAATTTGTCAGTGACAGTTAACTAACAGATTGTAATATCCATAATGCAATCGATAAATAATGATGTCCATGGTAATCGATATTTTTTGTGTAATAGTACCTTTATTTAAATGAATTCTATGGTGATGCGCAATAAATTCTCAATTCGAAAGGAAAGGTTTCCTTATATATGTATTGTATTTAACATTTATAATTTCCAGCCTTACAAAAATATTCAACCATCGTGATATTTTTATTAAACCTTTTAAATAAAAATATTAATCAAAGTCGGTCCATGATAAAGATATTACAGAACAGAACATACATATCACGAAAAACAAAAAAAAAAACTCTTTAGAATTGAGAGTCCTTTTTGAGATGGGTTAAAATAAAAAATCGCAGTCATCGATTTATTAAGATGCCATTGTATTAAAATCTAAGGGATAACAAAAAGTAATTAATTGAAACACCGTTGATATTATAATTATTTTGGTACTGCATAATAAAGGCTATCAAGGTATATTGAACTTTAATTCAATGTTTTAACATTTACAATCTATTTTGAAAATTTTTACAATTTTATATGCACGCGAAGTTCGTTGGCGCAGCGGATAACGCGCTAGGTCTGCGACCGGAAGTGAACTTTCGTAAGGGCCGGTCATAAAATGGGTGATCAAAATTTATTATTTCGAGCTCCTCCGTGCTTAAGTAGGCACGTTCAGCCGTTCGTCCCGGCTGCATCTGCACTCGCCTCGCCTGGCCTGGTGGGGCCACTCTCCCTCTTCGATTAGATTTATAGGGAATGACTGTGCTTCACCAGTGGGATATTAATAGGCTGATATCCGACTAAAATTAGTCATAGCTTCTCAATTTGATGTTTTCTCTTCAAATTAAAACCTCGTTTTTAGGATTCCATACCTAAAGGGTAAAAACGGGATCCTAAGACTCGTAATACTAAGATTAGTAATACTAAGACTCCGCAGTCCGTCAGTCACCAGGCTCTATCTCATGAACCGTGATAGCTAGAAAAATAAATAAAAACAGACTAATATAACAAACGTGATTTATTTCGTTTCGTGCGCGAGCTCAACTCGCACTTCGCCGATTTTATAATAAGATGGGTTATCTTACAATGTGTTGTTGTGATTATCAGGATTAGGGTAAGCAGAAGAAAACATCGAAATTCCGTAGAAAACTCCCGATTTCCATTGAAAAATCCTGAAATTTTGTTGGAATTTATTTATTTATTTAACAGTTTATTGTACACAATAAAAACACTAAAGTAACAATACAAATATAACTGACACAACAGGCACTACTTATTTCTAACCAGAAATTTCTTCCAGTAGGCCTACGGAAGGAGATTCATAAAAAGTAAGGCAGACACAACGTGCACAATAATTAAATTGAAATATTTACAATAGATACGACTTTTGACCATAATTACATACTTAACATGAACATAAATGTATACTTACATATTATATACTTACATAAATAAGCATAATAAATAATATATATACATAATATAAGCATAAATACATATATAACATATATAACTAAAAATATTATATATACTAGACAACTAGTGATAAATAGTACTCTTTGACTCGCTTATTTGGGACTTTTCTCTCATGGTACTTATTAATTTTAAAAAGTCAAATAATTTTTTTATCGTTTTTATACACTGCGGACCTCGCTCACTCATTGCAAATCGCAACTTCAAGAAAAATATTTTTAGTTTGTATAACTTTGCATAAAAGAGATCTTTAAAATGTACGAAATATACTTTGTTCAAAATTCTGAAAATCCTGCGATAAGAAAAATCTGACCGCAATCCTGTGAAGGTTCCAAAATTCCTGAGATCTTAGGACAAATTCTACGATATGGTAACCTTAGTCAGGATATAAAAAACTTAAAAGTGCATCAAGATAACCGCCCGCCCGCCGGGGCTCACAATGTAGAATACAAATGTACGTGAGGACACATAAGACGCTTCCGCCTGTGAACGTGCGACGCATAAGCGCACGGACTACAAGCGAGCCGCGTGTAGTCGCCCTTAAACGACAAACACGATTATAATACGATGAATTTTGATTTAACAGTCGAAGATCTTGCCGTTGCGTCCGGTTCGCTACTCGCCTTTAATTTCTTCTAATTGTTTTTAAATTCCTTCATTGTTTTGTATATGAGCGTATGTTCGGAATACGAAATACCGAAGGAGTATCATTGAATGCATTCGATAATGAACGACAAAATTGAAGTACGTGCGAAGTTTATTTTTTCCATATTTGATTGACATGTAATAAACAGGCGGTATTAGAATAACTACATAATTATATATATAACGTAAAATATGATACGGAGGAAATATTTCCTCTCTCGTAAATCAACATTAGTTGATAAATATCTTTAATGAATAATTATTTAAAATTCACCAGTCCCAGGAACTAAATGGGTCTCTAAACCAAAACTTTTTGCAATCCGAGCGACGGCTCTAACCATTGAGCTACCCGAGGCCTAACAAGACTGATGAATTTCTCAAGCAGTTATTGCTTACGTTACTAATGTAGCGTTTCAGGAATGTTCAGACATTTATTTCAATTTATTATCTCGAGCTCCACGCTTCGGAAGATACGTAAAGTCGTTGGTCGCGGCTGCATATGCTGTTGATTAACACCCACCAATCCGCACTGGTCCCTTGAAATAGTTCATGGTCATTCCATTCATAGGGAAAGTCTGTGTTCAAGCAGTATTATATTCTTATTATAAAATATAAAAGAAAAGATTGCAGATATTTTAATATAATTTGTAATGCATATTATGATAATTAGCAAGAATTTATATCTACAAAATGACACCAAAAATATTTAATAGTGCCTATTTAACGCCGAAATAGCTGTAAAATCCAATAAAAATGTCATTAAAGTAGCTATGTTTTCCAGTTTGGTAATTTTTTGTCATAAAATCTTTGCTTTAATGCTTTTTGATTGGCATTCTATTTTCATTGATAGATTTTATCGATCGCATCGGAATTTAGATTTAATTTTGTATGTGAGTGTGTGTTTAATATTTTCCTTGACAAGTGGAAAATATTAAAAATCACACACATATAAAATCAAATCGTCATGTCAATTTATATTATACTAGTTGTTTCTTGCGAATTTGCTCAAGTAAATTATAGCTTAGATGTAAAATTATGATGTAAAATTCCTAATTGTAATAGAGTTGGTGTCAATTAAATGCAAACAACTAAACGTAACGAAAGTAAAATTACAGTATAGTCTCTTCCTATAAAATTTTCACCTTCAAGGTTAGCTGATAGCAAACGCCTAAGTCCGCCATTGTACATTTGCGTAAGAAGTGTCAATAAAAGATATAAAATAACATCATTCCTCTTCATAATATTAGTATACACTACTTTTTGTATAGTTACATAAATATATTTTATAAATGTAGTAGTACATGTAACACAAAACTTTTAAGCGTTGATCAAACTATTATACCTAAATACAGGGCATGAATTAAGATCGTAATTCTCCTTTCGTAAACATTTCATCTTACAACCTGTTTGGCCACTAATTCACGTTTGATTCCCCTCCCTTCCTTGGCAATACACGAAGAAATGACCTCAAGACTAAACCACGGCAAAATAAATAAAAGAATACAAGAGTCATTTATTTGGACCTATCTCAAAGCTGGGTGGTCTAAATTTGTTTTTCTTTTTGTTAGTAATCTTAAATCGCCAGACGAACTAATCATACATTTTTGTGATATTGGTGCCAAAACGCTAAAGTATTATATTTTAATTTGGCTCTATTTTAACGGTATTTCGTAGTCATGTAATCAAAGAAATGTTATACTTCTATAATATGAAAAGTTTGCTGATGTTACCATAGTTATTTACATAATCAAAAACGCCATCTATCAAGATTAATATTAAATGTAGTCTTGTGTAACAGAATTTCTAAAATTTTCTCCGCAACTATTATTTTGCCATGATGAAGTATAGTATAATATAGCGGATATTGGTAGTAGGGGATCACTTACATAACTAGTAGGATATCCGTTATTGATGCTAACAGTGTTGGTAATTAAATATTACATTTTTCACAAACTAATTTTACTTTTATTGGCCTTAAATTTATTTATTTCATTTCTTCTCACACGCTAAGTTATACTGATTACATCACCGTGATATTTTTTTCTAATTTTAGACTTATTTCAACATATTCTCTCGTATAATTGATAAGATGTTTTGTTTATGATATTCCCTTCTAATCTCCGGTTTGTCCGAGATTTCTTATAATGGCCTAATAAAACTTAATACTCCATTGGATATGAAGTCATAAAGAACACATTATTATGTTAATTAGATCACTTAATAAATCATACTGAACCAGTTAAAGTCAACGAATTCCTGATCATGACTAAAATAAGTAACAGTGACGTTTTTAAATCCTCTATTGATTTCTAATATACAATTTGTTTGTATGTTATATAAAAATGGTTAGTTTTACCTTGAAACTGTTTATAAAATCAAAATTTAACAAAGATGATATTCGGCTATACCCTGCAAATGAGTGGAGATAAAAAAATTGCCCAGCGAACGCTTCAAAAAGGAAGTGGGCGATTTTATTGAGCACCTGTCGCCCGGTGCAGCTGCTGTTTGCGAGACATATTCAATCAAATCGGTCGTTGCATAACTCACATCAAAAATTATCTTGAATAAACTATGCTTAGGAAAGGATGGATACTAATCAAATTTTTGATATAAATTCTTTAATTCTTCTAGCTTACCACGTAACTATAAATCACTAAATAAAACCGGTAGCTATTATTACGTACAAATTCAGAGTTCCGATTCCATTCATTTATAAATAGAGGCATCACACTGTCCATTT